GGTGGCAGTGTCCTGTCACCATCAGTGTAGTCCCTATACCTTATACCCTGCCCTGGTGGAAATGTGCCTGATCACATTTAGCTCTCTCAGAGAGGACACTGGTGAATGATAAAATCACATGCAGTGTTGAGAGAAGCTGCTTATGAAGAAGAAAGCTTTTCTATTGGCCCACAAACAGGCTCAGAGGCATAGCAAAGGGAGGGTAGGGAGGGGCAGCTGCCCCCGGGCACCACACTAGGGGGGTGCCGGCTGGGGTGGAAGCGGAGCGCATGCTGCGCAGGCCCACCTGACGCTTAGATCAGTGAGCCGGTAGCTGGGCCACGTGCGGCCACCTGGAATGCACTGCGAGCAGAGGCAGCCGCCTGGAGCAGCCTCTTTTAAAAGTAAGATGAACTTACCCGACCGGTTCCTCCGGTGCCTGGCTCTGAGGGAGGGAGATTTGGTTGGGAGGGTGCTGGGTTGCTTGGCTTTGGAGGAGGGGGATTTTGTTGGGGGGGCACTGGGTTGCTTGGCTCTGAAGGAGGGGGATTTGGTTGGGAGGCACTGGTGGTGCCTGGCTTTGGCATCAGCTGGTAGAAAACCTGCCAGTCTCCAGCAGCAGCCTCTGGTCAGGCAGGGCAGGGCCAAGGGGCAGGGGTGTAAGGGCAGGCAATGGCAGGGAGAGAGTACAAGTGGGGTGTGGGTCTTCGGAGGAAGAGGTAGCTCAGGAGCATTTTGGGGGAGTGGGACAGTATGTGGGTGGGGCCTAGGAGCAAGCACAGCAGGGTGGGGGATCACGGGTCCAGGTGCTTGTGCCACTTCTGTGATTCGGGGCTAGGAGAGCCGGGCCCACCCTGGAGCAGTGCCCAGCCAAGGCAAGGGACAGCACACATTAAGGACTCGGAGTAAAGTGATGGCTTGGCTGGTGGGGAAGAGAGAAGAGCTTTGTCATTTGTGAACTCCACCGGCAAGTGCTGGGAGCGGAGGCATGGGATGCCCCTTTCCCTGTAGGCTGAATTTGCCAGTGACCCGGCTCCTGGAACCTGGTTCCCTGCCCACTGACTTTCAGCCACTCACCCGCCTGTCACTGGACCACCTCACTTGATTTCATCTGGACACAAAGTGCTGTCTAGCAACTGACGGTGCCATCCGCCCGCTGGAATGGTATCAAGCCCGCGTGACCAAGACAAGGCTAATGCTTGCCAGCCCTCGCACCACCCATTGGCAGCACTCAGAGGGCTTTCCCAAGGAGGCCAGAATTGTTCTCATTTTACAGGTGGGGAAACTGAGGCACAGTGGGGGCTGTGACATGCCTGAGGTCACACAGCAGGTTGGACTAGAAGCTCAGTTTCCAGTGGTTCAGGGGCTGTCTACATGGGTAGCAAAGATGTAACTGCAGCACAGCCTGGCATAACCCAGCTCGCTGCAATCTGACTAGTGTGGGGAACCACCACGGGGTGGGGGGGGGGCTTCAGCAATCGCACCCTGGCTAGCTCGTGCTGTGATCAAACCACCCCTGCTCAAAGGAGACAGTCCAGGGAGCTGCCTGCCAGCCCACGGTGCAGCCCAACTAACGGCAGCGAGGGGCAGAGACTGATACCCAGCAGCCATCTCCTGCCCCCGCTTCTCCCGTCTGCTCAGTCCCGCCCCCAGGCTTGCTGAGCCCTGTGGGGGGAACGCTTCGGACCTAGCCAATTCACTCCCCTCATGCCTCAACACCTGCCTAGAGGCACTATGGGGCCTGGCTCCTGTGACCCCACAGTGTGGGAGAAAACAGGGCCTGATCTGACCCCCAGTTCAAGGGATCCACTTGAGGGAGGGGCCTGGCACCAAAATCCCACTGGTGCACAGGAGGCTACAGGGCCTCTCTAGGGGGCACTGGCTCTGGTTCAGTCCCAGGGCAGGGAGCACAGGCTGGCTCAAGGAGATATGGATGGGCTCTGGGGACCCATCCCTTCTAGGGTGCACCAGCCCCTATCTTACCCCATGGGGGCAGTAAAGAAGCACAGAACACTAGAGCTGGAAGGGACCTCAAGAGGTCATCGAGTCCAGTCCCCTGCCCTCACGGCAGGACCAAGCACCCAGGGCTACTCAACACACGGACCGTGGGATGCATGATTCCCATGGCCAGTTTGTTTGTGGCCGGCGGCTTGGAGCCAAAACAAAAAAGTAGTCAATGTAATGGTCTTCTGTTGAGATGTGTTTTAGCAGTTAAATTCTTGGACTGTCATTGCTCGTGAAAAGTGCTGTCACATGGATGGAAATCAAGTAAATGTTGCATTTTATTAATATCAGCAGAACTGACTTAAATGGGGCCTGTGTGTTGTGTAGTCTTGCCTTAATCTTTGTATTCTTGCCTGTCAGTGTAAGAGAAGCTATTTGTATATATTTGCTTGTATATGCAACCACACTTAAGTTGAGGACCTCAGCATGTTCCTTGAGTATCAGTGTGGCCCCGGGACTTTCAAAGTTGAGTTGCCCTAGCTCATCCCTGACAGGTGTCTGTCTAACCTGCTCTTAAATATCTCCAGTAATGGAGATTCTGCAATCTCCCGAGGCAATTTATTCCGGTGATTAACCCTCCGACAGGCAGGAAGTTTTTGATAATGTCCAACCTCAAGCTCCCTTGCTTCAGTTTAAGCCCATTGCTTCTCGTCCTATCCTCAGAAACCAAGGAGAACAATTTTTCTTTCTCCTCCTTATGACACTCTTTTAGATACTTGAAAGCTGCTCTCGTGTCCTTTTTCAGTCTTCTCTTTTCCAAGCTAAATAAGGCCAATTCCTTCAGCCTTGCCTCATAGGTCATGTTCTCTAGACCTTTCATTATTTGTGTTGTTCTTCTCTGGACTTTCTCCAGTTTCTCCACATGTTTCCTGAAATGTGGCGCCCAGAACTGGATATGATACTCCAGCTTGGGGCCTATTGTAGATGGCTCATTCCCTGCCTAGGGGATGTGAGACTGGGTGGGTTAATTTCCAGTCCTCCTGTTTATTCTTTTCCTAAGCCAAGAGGGCACAGTGGTTCTGATGAGGCTCTGTAAGGAGGCAGCCCCCACTGCCCCCTGCTTGAAACCCTTTGTGCAGGTGTTAAACAGCTGTCTAGCCCAACCTAGAGGTCACTGCATTTCAGCGTGCCTGAAGCAACACAGCACCATCAATGGACAGGGGAATGGCTCCCGGACATGGCTTACTCATGACTGCTTCAGTCCTGTTGAATGGGCCTCAGCCTCTTTCCTTCCCCTCCCCAGCTTTGCAATAGGGCTGTAGACTCTGGGGGGAGAGGGGTGGAGGCAGGCAGGGGTGTCTCCCTGCAGCAGACGTAGACTCGTCTCTGTATTAATCATTCTCACTGAAGTTTTTAGCTTTGTATTGAGACCTTTTACATGGAAACTTTGTATTATGTCTTGGTGGAATAGTCCCTAAGATAAGTGAGGTAGAGACTGTCCCTGTGGGGTGAATGAGGTAGGAATGGATAAGGTGAAAGGCGAGCACCTCTGGGCAGTTACAAGGGTTGGAGAGGGGAGGGAAGCCAGATCCAAGATCAATGAGCCCTGGGAAGGAGACTGGACCTGTGGATGCCTTGGGGGACAGCAGCAAGGGCCTGCTTTGGGAAGCCCCCTCTTTGGAGGTGAATGTGGCAGCAGGGGGTCAGCAGCAAGGGTCTGCCTTGGGAAGCCCCCTCTTTGGAGGTGAATGGGGCAGCATTGAGACACCACCCAGAAGCAGGCGCCACAGACACTAACTGCAGATGCATGGGACGGCTCTCACAGATCTTGAGCATGCATAAGATGTTAGATCTGCAGGAGGGGGAGCAGTGGTGTAGCAAGGGGGCCGGAAGGGTCAGTTGCCCCTGGGCACCATGCTAGGGAGGCGCCAATTTAATCCCATTCTGCTCCCCCTGTCATCCCTCAGCTCACCTGCTCCTACTCCACCTGCCCCCAGCAGCTGGAGCCTCCTCCCTGCCTCTCTGCTCCTAGCCCAACCCTCCTCCATCTCCGCTGGCAGGTTAGTGCATGCGGGAGCCTGGCCCCAAACTGGAGGGAGCGGGGGAAAATGCAGTACAAGTTCCCCTCCGCCCCCCTCCTCCTCCCAGGGTCAGACTCAGCTGTGCACCAGGTTCGGGGCCCTGCCACATGGCGGTGGCGGGAGGAGGGGCAAATGTTTCCTTTGCCCCTGGGTGCATAACACCCTCACTACACCTCTGAACAGGCTACCTCTTCACTAGGAAGTAGGGGAGTTATTCTCCTGTTCACGTATATATGCTCTCACAAGCACCCAAAGAGCTAGCAGTGTAGCCATGATAGCACTGGGTGTGGCAGCAGAGACATGGCTGAGCCATGCCAAATACATATCCACTGATTTCAGGTAGGTTTGTAGGTGGCATGGCTTGGATGCATTGCTACTGTGGTCTTCTGTGCTACTGCAGCTACAATGCTACGTATACTTATGCAAACTCAATGAGAGCTAGTAGCAGGGTTCCCTGTAAGCTGAGCACATGCGTAGCCAGCTAGGAGAGATTCTACTGCCATCCAGCTGATTAGCAGGGTGCTCACAACCCAGCGGCATGTGTTTCCACTGGTGGTGCACATCCACATATGCCTCCACGCATATAACAAAATTTATTCTGTACATGGATGAGAAAAGTAAGACGAAACATTGGCTAGCAGGAGTATGTGTGTATGAGCAGAACCATCATGGCCATCTATAATATACCTTATCCATAACACATGTAATATACAAATATTACAATAGATAACATCTTTCCACCAGATATTCTTAACCAGAGTACAAGGGAAACTTTGCCATGTCATTTATCATGTTGAAAAGTCTTTTAATTATTAATGTTCCCTTCAGAAAGATACTGCATTGAAGTGTCTCTTGCAGGAGTTTTTTTGTCAAGCCCTGTCCCTTCTGAGTTAGTGGAGACAATCTCCGAGTTTGACACGAAACATGAGGCTTTCTCCAGGGCTATCACAAAAAGAACAAGTGAACACAAGTGGGGTTAGAGCATAGAGGACCTACCGTTCCATCCCCTCCGCAGGCCAGGAGTCGTAGGTTTGGCACTTTTCTGTACAGTTCGAGTCTAGGAAGGGGAAACAAAGAGAGGTAGGAGAAAACGGTAAGGAAGTGAACAATAGAAATACAGTGACTGCAACAAGAGTTGCTTCACTCATAGAAAACAAACAAAACAATGTTACATTCAGGCTTCTTTTCCCAAATACATACCAATGGAAAAAATGACAGTGTCAATTTTATCACTAAATACAGTTATTCATCGCATATTGTTCAATAGCAGATAGATCATAGATGGAGGCACGGAAAGAAAATCTGCCCATACAACAATAATGCTCCACATTTAGAACAACTACCAGCCACTACTCAAGAAAAGTTTACACCTACAAGGAGTAAGGATGTTGTAGATCAGCAAGGATGTTGTAGATCAGTGTTTTTCAGCCTTTTTTCTCTTTGTGGGCCCCTAAAAAAATTCAAATGGAGGTGCAGGCCCCGCTAGAAATCTTAGACACAGCCCGCAGACTCCACGGGGTCTGCAAATCACATGTGGAAAACCACTTGCTGTAGATGAAGAATGAAGTGCCCCAGCAATGAAGCTTGAACTGTGTCTGCCTCAAATAGTTTTGGTTCCACCAGTGCTGATAGTCACTCATTTGCACCAAAAAAAAAATCACTCCAGTATCTGCTACTAGCAATGGAGATGTTGTAGAAGGAACTGCAAGAATTTGTTCGGTATCCTAGAGCACCATCTAGTGGTACTGAAAAATGCTACCGAATAAAGGAGTTTTCCTATAAAAACTTTCCCATAAGGTAGAACTTCACTCTTAAGAGCTTCATGCTTCAGAATTCATTTCTCATAGATTTAACATTTGTTCCATGTGCTTTGAAGCAATACTGCTTATTTTCCATAAAGCAATAATGTCTTTTGACTGGAACGATTATAGTAAATAGCATACTACCAAGGGTTAAATGTTACATTCAGGCTTCTTTTCCCAAATGATAGCTCAATTCAGCAGTAATTCTCCATACAAAGTCATAGAACTTGGTTTTGTAGAAGAAAATTAAATCCTATTGCTGCAGAGATGACTGTGAAAAATGAAAAGCCTACCAGGAAGCAAGCCCAGGCTCTTCCTTCCAAGGCTCACCAGGACTTATTCAACAGGATTAACTTTGGTTTTTAAATCTGCGGTCAAGCTGAAAGGAGAATTTCTCACTCCAGCTCAGAAGCTGGGAAACTCTTGATATAAAGCAAACAAACTTGAAATTAAAAATCAGACTGTAGGTTGAAAATACAAATATTTGTTTACAGGCCCACTGAAAGTCCTGGCAAAAGTAGAAATGTGGCTAAAGTAACCTTTGCATTTGGAGCATTTCTCCTGTCAACTCCCTTGACCTCCGTTATGTTATCGCTAGACTGCTAATCTCCCTCTTGCTTCTGAAACAGATGAGTATATTGTGGAGGCACATGCTGATCAGATGTGTGTTTTTCTGCTCTGTTTAACACCCGTGCCTTCCTACTCAGCATATTGGTGGGTTCCAATCACAGATGGGAACTCCAATGATTAAACTGACAGTGTGCGCAGTCTTGTAGAAGTTTGAAGGTGTGCAGCAAATTTCATAGCAGCAGCAGGATTGGGGGGAGCTGAGGAAATGGGGAACAAATACAGATTTGATGGGAAGAAGAAAAAATAGGAGAAAGTACAACTGGAGAAACAGAATCCAAATTTCCTCCCTATCTTGTACAACCTTCTTTACCTCTGAGTGAAACTTGCCACACAGAGGATCTTGATCAACTTTTCTCTTCTTGAATGCAGGGAAGTGCATGAGATAACTTACTGAGGTCCCTTCCAGTCCAACACTCCTATGATTCTATGTCCATTAAAGGAAGGACAAGAAGTAATCAGTTTAAGTAGCAGCAAGCAAGATTTACATTAGATATTTGGGGAAACTTTCTAATTAAAAGGATAGCTAAAGACTGGAATAAGCTTCCAATGGAGATTGTGAAATCTCCCTTGTGACAGAGATGGCAATTTCCTGCAATATCTGAAAAACCTTATTCAATTAATTTAAACCTTATTGAATTAACTTTAAGTATTTTAGGAGTTCATTGTATTAAAAATGCAAATGTGTCTGTGTTATTAGGGGGGCTGTATGTAACCTGACTAGAAGACATGACTAATACAAACCTTGGGAAATATTAGGAGCTTCCAAGGACTCTTTTAAACAATGGGCTGGGTTTGTTGAGGACGTTTCTTACAGAATACTTGAGAGAAAGGCAATGCAAATGTCCCCCTCCAGACCTAATCTTTTGAAGCTTACTCCTGGGGAAGGAACCTTTGTCTATGAATTCACTACAGTATTCCCAGGACTGAAAGGCCCAAACAACATAAAGGAGTAGTAACTCCCAGATTCATAGCAGTTATGAACTTGTGATCACAGAGGAGTTCAAAGGATTGTTCACCAGACAGAGCCCTTGTTGCAGCTGGGGTGACTCCTTGCCAGCTTATTACCATCTATGTAGGTTCTTTCATTGTTTTTAGTATACTTATTTCATTGTATTTAATATATCCCTTTGTAGTCCTCTTCCCTTGCATAGAAAGAGCTGTATGGTAACAACTGTAGGCAGTCATGCTGTTTGTAGCCTCTGAGGAAGGAAGGCAAAGCCGACCTGCAGGGGCAGTGTGCCATGCTAGGAAATAGCACAGTCTATATGGGAACTGTGTCATCTGAAAAAGCCCCAGCTGGCAGGAAGATGCAGGTCTCCCCAAGAGAGGTGATGGCTGGAAAGGGAAGAGTTTGAGAGTAGATGCTTTTGCTGGACCACAAATGGCAAATACAGATGTAACTGCACTGAACTGTGAATCCAGTTACTGAAGGTTTTTAGGGACAGGTTAGACAAATATTTGTCATGTATGGTCTATATATGCGTGGTCCTGCCACAGCACAAACTTCGTGGGCACCATGCAACAACCAGTATAAAAAAACTGACTAACTGAGAATATGCTGACCCACATCACAGCAATGGTTTTATCTCTAGCTTTGCATAGACAGGTTTCAGAGATAGCTGTTTTGATCTGTTTCAGAAAAATTATGCTTCTTTTGTTTTTTTTACTTGATGCATCTGATGAAGTGAGTTGCAACTCCTAAGCCATAATAAAATTGTTAGACTTTCCAGTGCCAGCAGATTCCTTATTGTTTCTGCATAGACAATAAACACCTAGAAACTTTTGGGGAAATGGTTATTTTTTGACCCCGATTATATCTCTGGTATCCCTTGCTCAAATGACCATGTAATGTGGGCATTAACCCTTCTTTAAACTCCTACACGCATAACGAATTTCAAGAAAATACATACAAGCATATTTAGGTTTTTGAGCACTTGGAAGGGTTGGGGATAGAATTACATAGGAGTCATGCAGAGGGGTCACATGCTCCCCCTTTGTTGGTATGCTCTCCCTTTTCCATTTTAATAAGAATTTTTGTTTACTTGCACCTCTGCTGTTTGGGACCCTGTTCAAGCGTACTTAGCTGCGCTGATGAGCTCTCCATGCTGCTGCAGTAGGAAATGAACATTCAAAAGTCCCCACGGGTTTTCTTGCTCTCCAGTTTCAAGAGTACTGGAGTTCAACGTGCTAGTCACAGGGTTCAAAACAGAGTACTCTGGATCATCACCTGCAGGTCAGTAACTCTGAATTACAGCACACAGGCCTGGTCTACACTAAAGGGGAAAGTCGACTTAAGATACACAACTCCAGCTATGTTAATTATGTAGCTGGAGTTGAAGTAACTTAAATCGCGTTTTGGCACCATCCACACAGCAGGAGGTCAACAGGAGCAGATGCTCCCATCAACTTCCCTTACTCCTCATGAGGAGCAGGACCACCGGCACTGATGGGAGTGCCCTCTCAGTTCAAATTAGCGTTGTCTTCACTAGACCTAGTCATTCAAACACCGGAAGATTGACTGCGGCAGTGTCACTCTTCTCTATAGTGTAGACAAGCCCGCAGTGTTTACACTGCCTTTAAGTTGAGGCATGAATGTTGCCTCGGGCTTTACTCTGGAGTGCAAGGGTCAATTTTAAAAGCCCGTTTGGTCAATGGGAGGGACTGGGCAGTGTAGACACTCTCATTGCAAATTCGACCTAACAATGAATATATCGACCTAAGCTCCCAATGTAGACCAGCCCTTGATTTAGCAGAACAGGGCAGCAGGAAGAAATTGTTTTTGCAGAGCCTATAACTTGGGAACCCATTAGTCAAACAACCCCACATTTGGGCCATTAATGTTACCCCACATCCCCATGATGTAAACCAAAATTTCAAAGCAACCCAAGTAACCATCCAGATTTTAGAGCATTTACAAGAGTTGCGTTCTAAATGGTAGGCATAGGAAAAAAATATCTAGCTATTGTTCTGTTTTGATGCATGCAAACTACACAAAATGAACATTTTAAAATACCATTCTCAGTTTGAGTCGCCCAGAGATTTAGTGAGTTCCCTGTGTGACAGGCTGCTGGCTAAGCCAGAGCTCTGCCACTGCAGCGTGGCTGAAAAAGGCAGTTGCAGCCAGCTGAGCAGGCCCATGCATGAGGGGCTAATGGGAAGCAGCTGTGGGCCTCATTAGCCAGAGGGCTAGATAAGGCAGCCAGAGGGGAATTGGAAGGGGAGGAGCCAGAGGGTGGCTGAGTGCTCCTCAGCCAGAAGGAGAGGCTAGCTGAGTTTGCTGTGAACAAAACTCTGTAAATAGAAGGTGATGGGAAATTGGCATGGGCAATAAAAGGCATGGGTGATTGCACGAGAAAGGGTCTCTGGTTGATTTGTGGATGAAGAAGGGGTACCAGAGTGCAAAGCCTGGGTGAGGACTTTGCCACACATGCAACACCCAGACCATTTTGATCCATATCAAGTCAATAGCTTGATTCCTAGTGCTGCACAAAAACAATCTACAAAGAAGTTTATGTTTGAGAAATGGAATGTGCTGTTAAGCATGTACTTAAGTCCTTTTCTGAATAAGGATGGACACAAGCATGTGCTGAATTTCATTACTCAATCAGGCCCTTAGACAGTGGGTCATGCTTTGATAAGCCTTGCCAATACCGCTATTACTGATTATTATTACCAGGAAGCCCTACCTTTTGCCCCCATACTTAACAAGCAAAGAAGCATGTTGACAACACTAATTGCTTCAGTACTTACGCCTCTCTTGGCCCTTCCTGAGAGAGATCAAAGACCTGGCGAGGATTCAAGTACCACATGAACATCTGGAGAACCTTCGTGCCCTGTGAGGATAGAAAATGGAAGGAAACTAAATGAGCAAATGACTATTATAAGTAATAATATTTTATCCTTATTAATCTTCGGAGTACCTTTCATTCACCTTTGCTTTACAGAACAAATACAAAACAAAGGTGAATTTACTGACAAGTCAAAACAAAAGCTACCCATTGTAACAGAAGATTACACTAGAGAACAATCACGTGACCTACCATCTCGCTCTTTGTGTGTGTGCAGCCCCTTGGGGGAAGGACTGCCTTTTTGTTCTGTGTTCTTATAGTGCTTGGCACAATGAGGTCACAGTCAATGACTCAAGCTCCTAGGCATTAAGATAATATGGCTAATAATAATAACAACATATGTCCATGCAGTGTAGAATACAGGTCTGGATTGGCTTCTAATTGACAGCAGAGCTAGTTGAGAAAACTTTGATGGAGCCATTTTGCAACAGAAATCCAGTTATGACAAAATCAAGATGTTCTGTGAAATTGTTCCAGGTTTCCTGAAATTTTGCTTTGGAGAAAACATGCAAAAGATTCTGGCAATGTTGAAATATCCCATTTCAATACTTCCTGAAATAAATATTTTTATTTGTTTATTTTAAAAGTGATGTTTTATTTCAATATCTTTTATTTTGGATTGCATTTTATGTTATCATAGAATATAAATGTAACAGGTCAAAATCAAAGCTAAAACAAAACATTTTTCAGACTTTTTCTTTGTAGAGAATTTTGAAATATTTGTAGGCATGTGTGAGCCCATTGTTTACTTCAGCTCTGCATGCATGACCAAAGTGTTCAGCCTGCTGCTTACAGCTTGATGATGGAATAATATGCTTAAGCAACAGCATCATGATCTTAAACTTGGTTTTCTAGAACACAGTTTTTCAGACTTGGGTCGTGGGGCCACCAGGGTGAACTGCTGGCAGCACTGTCCTTCCTTGTTTACTTAATGTGTCTGTAGCCACAGATCCCCTTGCAGCTCCCATTGGTTGTGGTTTGCCATTTACAGCCAATGAGCTGCAAGGCTCCATGGCTAAGGACATATTAAGTAAACAAAGTGGCGTGCCCCAACTTTGAAAAACACTATTCTATAACACTGTTAACTACACCTTTACAGTTCAGAATTACATGGGTTTACAATACAAGATACAGTACATGGCCAAAGGATGTTGAGAGATTTCCTGATTAAGCCAAACAAAAGAAGAGCAGGATGAAGACTGGCAATTACTTTGGTGAGCTCCAAACCACTATTCTGGTTTCCTCTCAAAGAATCAAAACCTGAGAGGAAGATCACACTAAATAATCCAAACCTCCATTCAGGCAGGAAGATGATTTCCTGGGAAGGGTCCAATCCTCCATTCCAGGAGTCTGCATCCCAGACCACGTGAAACTCTTCTTTTTCTGTGACTGACTTGAAATCCCTTTATGACCCATTATTTAAAGAAACTTGCAAAAACATTGCTGCTGTGGCCAAGTTGATGCCTTTACCTGATTCCCACCACTTTTTGGATTGACAAACACCAACAGTGGTTTCATGAGCAGAGAAGAGATGGGCTTTATCACAAATGGTCGGCCTTTGTTTTCCTGCAAAATCGAAAGTGACAGAGTACCTCAGTTAGAGTTACACAAAACTGATGCTAGAATCTCAAGGGAAAAAAAAAATCACACAGCATTCTCATTTCTGTTTTTAGAGGGTTTTGTGGCCATGAAAGCCATGATATTAACCCCTGTGACCTTTAGTAGAAAACTGCTGTTGCACAGATAACAAATTTCGGTCTGCATCCCCCTTGTCATGCCTCAATTATTCAACCTACCCTATTTTATCCTAGAGAATGAACCTGTGCATCTCATCTAAGGATGGGGGGATAGATCAAACTGGACTGGCTGATCAATGGATATGCTGGATGTTAAGTGGTAATCTAAAGATTAAAATATCCATTCAGTCCCTCTTTCATATATGACTAATTAGGACTTACCTCATTGCCTCTTTTGCTGGCTTTTCTTTTAAAAGATGTTCTCTTCTTTCGCCGGGTTGAAGTTTTTAATGAGTTCTATGTAAAAAGAAAAAAAAAGGATACATGGAAAGAAAAACAAAAATCAAGTCAGCCCCAGAAGCAGCCTCATTTAAGAAGCTCCTTCACTTGGAGAATGATACAGTGTCTGGCACATGCTTGAAGTTTATATCACATGCGTCTCATGCTTTACACTTCCACACCACCGTTGATGGAGAAAGCCACACACGGAGACCAGACTGGTGCTTTGGAACTGGAAGCTTTCTCACGCCAGGGAGCAGAAAAATCCAGATACTCCCATAGACTCACATAACACCACACGTTGTACCTGCCAACCCTCCCAATAGGGGTAGGAGACGCCCGTTTTCCCTCCGGGGCTCCAGTCTCCTTCCCAATCAAGCTCGTCTCCTGGTATGGAGACCACCTACACAAAAATGTAATAAAACATGATAAAATGAGCTATTTTTCATGTTTAAAAAACAAAACAAACGCAAAACAAAACCAAACCACAGGGTTAGCTCTGGTGCCCACCATGACATAGCATAACGCATGCTATTGCTGCATATGATGCTGGCAGAAAAAGACAAACCTGACCTAACATGAAACTCTTGCGGTAATCTGATAGAGAAGCTCCTCTGAATTCTTACTATTGAAGGGCTTCCTTTTTCTTAAATAAAAACAAATGAAAACGGCTGCCACTCTACGACACAAAAACTAGTTGAAACAAACAGATATTTTGTAGCATCTGCCAAAAAATTGCATCAGCAACAGGAGTTAACTAAAAATACTTGTCCTGCCATGAATCCAGGGGAGTGGATGAGATGACCACTGTATCTTTGATCATGTCTACACAGCAGGGCTAAAGTCCAATTAAGCTATGCAACTTCAGCTACATCAATTGCGTAGCTTAAGTCAAAATACCTTAATTCGGCTTTTGGCGCTGTCTACACAGCAGAAAGTCGAAGGAAAAGCACTCTTTTTTTCCAACTTCCCTTACTCCTCATGAAATGAGAGCTACAATGAGTTGGAATAAGAAGTCCTCCAGCTCAACATTATGTTGAAATAAAGGCTTGTAGTGTAGATGCGCCCTATGTTATTTCGGAAAAACATCAGTTATTCCAAAATAATGCTGCTGTATAGATGTACCCTTCCAGTCCTACAATTCTATACAAAAAAAAATTCCCAGAATGGCACAAACTTAATTAATACTAGATCACATAAATATGCTGATGTGATCAGGGCCAACAAAAATGTGGAGGTTTTTTTTAACTGTTTCAGTTGAATTAAAATAGCCAAATTCCTATATAATTCCTCTCTATTTACATATTACAGTTTGAACCTCTCCAGTTCAGCATTCTCTGGTCTAGTAACATCTGTGGTCTGGCATGATTTTAGTTAGCCAGATGTCCACTTATCATGGGTGTGGCCAAGTTTTCCCCGGTGCCGTAAAGTTTGTTTACAGCCACCAGTCCTGACTCTCAGTGTTCTGTGCTGTTATTTAACTCTATTTTTACCCCAAATGTCTTCTAAGAGCCCATTAAGAAGTGGAAGTGTTGGTAGTACTGCTAGACAATATTGACCTCCCAAGGGTCAGCAAATTCTCTGGTTTGGCACCGGTCAGGTCCCAAGGTTGCTGAACTAGAGAGGTTCAACCTGTACTGAGTTTTAGCTGAGTTTGAAACACTGCAAAAATGGACTTTCTCCACAGTATTTCAGCATAGTATATTCAAAACTAGGAAGTACAGTGGTGTAGAAAATTAACAGAAAGTTTGCTTATTTTATCTAAATTGATCCAGACAGTTCTACTGGGAAAAGCTTTACTGGCCCAGAGACCTATGAGTAAACATATCAGAGCTATTCATCAGAAAGTGATGCTTTTGCTCAACCCTGGTCTTCAGCCAACAGCCCTATTGCATTAAATAGCATATTTACTGGATTCATGGCTTGATTCCCCAATGACCACTTCTGGTGTTTCAAATCAGGCAACTTTCCTGTTGCTTTTCACCATGCATAAAGGGATCAGAGTTCATGTCACTTTCCCCACAGTACCTGGCTTAAGCAACAGAAGCTAATGATCCAACCAACTGACTAGATTTGGTGCTGAATCCTGGTCAGATGCCACCCCGCGGCATGTTGCATATACACTAAGAAGAAGGATGAAACTAGGTCTATAAAAGGGCTCTAAACTTTCCCTGGTTTCGTGAATGTAAAAGTGCACTAACAAGAGTTGCACTGACAGGGGTAAGTGGATAGATTATATGTATCCTACTGGTCTTTTCACTCTCAAGCAGTGCAATCAGACTGAGAGAGGATAGTTTAAAATCAATGTAATGGAGCAAAACCCAATTGTAGTGATAACTGTAGAAGATCTTAGATTCATGCTTCTGATCTACTCCAGGAGGATTTTTTTCTGAAACCTGTCACAGGGGTAGAGGTAGTGTGGCCTAGTAGAGAGCACACTGGACTGGGACTCAGGAGATCTGGTCTGAGCACTGCCACGGTCTGTTGGGTGACCCTGGGAAAATAAGTATTTCTTCATCTGTAAAATGGAGATAATGTTACTTACCTCCTTTCTAAAGAGCTTTGAGTTCTACTAATAAAAAGTGCTATAGATAAAGAGCTAGGACTATATTAGAGGGATTGATTGTACTTAATTATTTTACTGGAAAAAAATGACAATTTGCTATTTATTAGAAGGAACTACACCCAGTACAGCTCTTCTGGCTAAAGCCAGGAAAGTTGGGTAAATTAGCATTATCCTCATTACAAAATAACCACGTGCAAATATGCTTGTTGCCAAATCATGTTGTAACATAGCTGCTTTTCTGCCTTTGTAGCCTGGAAAAAAACCACACTACAACTTGGTTGCAGACACATGTCTTGGTCTTGCTATCTACCAAGATTAAAATGTAATAGTGTTTGATTTTGCACACACAGGCAAGAAAAGACATACTATGGTTTTGTCAAAACTCTATTACATCACCTGTTTAATCACACCTATTTTTGTAATGTGTAGAGAGACTGAACATTTGCTACAGCTTAGCAACATTAGCTATATAACAGGTCAGAGGCAGGGGCACTGGTTATACAACGGCATGCGTTCATTTCAAACTAGTAAAAGGAGAGCTGCCCTGAGTGTCCATACTGGTGTCTATTTGGTAAACTAAAGGAGTTGTTGTCTGTGCCATCTTGTCCATATCAAAGTCTTCCTTCTCCACTGGAAGAGTATAGGTGTTTTTCCAAAAACCAAATGCAATTCAGTGAGATTCCATGTACAGTAAATAACGCCTATAAATGAACAGACCTGTTTGTAAATCCTCAATTGTCTCTAGAAGAGGAAAAATCTCCTTGGTGAGATAATTTTACCCTTCTTCAAAGACAGGAAGCGCAGATTGTATTATATGGTGGTCACTGGAGATATTCCAAGCCCACTTAGATTTATGGAGGAAGAACAGGGTCCCCCTAAAATAACCCTGAGTGCTAGACTAGCATTCTTAGATAGATCCAATGGATCCTTTTCAATCCTTTCACCTGGGATGCTACAGATTTAATTTTCAGAAATTCGGAACCTCGACAGCTCTAAATGACTTGAATGGAGGCATGAGATACACAGCAGCAACAGACATCCAACTCTATGATCTTCAGGCAGTTCACAGACTGCAATGAGGCACAGGTAACTCACTCACTTTGGTGGCTTCAGCCAGCACTAAAGTCAGAAGGAGAAAAGCCCAAAAAGAAAAGTAGGCAACCGTTACAGGCTCCTTATGAAGATTCCACAGAGAAAGGAACGGAGCAAATATACTCACCTTGATCACAAACCTTTGCTCAGCATTGGGAGCCACTTACAATTACTGCTTCTGCGTTATACCCAGAACCTCCCAAGAACTGGCTTTGTAATGTCATTCTTAGCTTCTCTCTCCTAACATGCACACACATGTGCCTGCACACCCAGCAAATCTGTGTAACAATATTCAGGCTGCCAAGTATCAAATATAAAATAGGCCACTGTAGAGACCTATAGATGCTAACTAGAATAGGCAATGTACTTGAGCTCCAGGAAACCAGACCTAGAGGCACTGAAAATTGTTAGGGGGCTATAGAAGAGGCTCACATAATGTCCATCATGAAGGAGATACTGTGAATTTGCCATCCTTGTAAATTTGTCATTCCATGCAAGGATACCACCTGTTCCAAAATTATCCAAATGATTCTAAATTTCCTCTATCCTGAAAACAGAAGCTTGCACAAAGGTAAAAGTATATGGGTATACCCAGGTGCGCAGCTCTGGCAAAAGCTGGCTAAGCTGCAGCAAAAGCCAAAAGGGAACTATTTAAAGAGCTGTCAGGAACCCAGATTGCAATAGGACAGTTACTTGTAAGAGATTTCAAATTCCTTTCACCACTGAACTTGCAAAAAGGAAAAATTCCCCATTGCAGAAAGGCAGCAGGTCACCTAGGGAAAACTGACCTTATGCAAATACATCATGATGTTGCATCATGATACTTGAGAAGGGAGTCTGTTTTTTATTCAGATAGAGGATTAGAAAGGTGGTGACCCTGGGTCAACATAATGCTCATAGGAAAGCCTTTTGTATCAATAAAAAGGGAAAATAAAACTACATGAGGAGTCTCTGCAGGAAGCAATCTTGTCTACTCAGAAGAAACAACCACTAAAAGGGAGCGAAAGACATTGCTAGAATCCATTTTAAATTAGTAGAAAATCTAGTCCAGGACTTACCTGTGACCATCTGAGATGTTAATAAGTGGAGCTGAGCAATAATGTGTAGCAGAAATGTTGCTCGATATACTTATGCTCATCATGGAATATCTATGAACAGATTTCTGTTGCCACATATTGATTGATTCATCAATTTCCTCTAATTTATTTAAGAGTTTTTATTTATTTTCTCCATGGATTGATTGCTGAGAGTGTTTGATACTATCAGAAATCCTGACTGTGTAGAGGGGTTGGAAATAGCCAGGTCATTCACAAATAGAGCTGGTCACAAAAAGGGAAAGGAGGGACAGTTTCAGCAGAAA